CTCTTAATGTAGGTTTCTTGATTAGCTGTTAACAAACATACATTTTAGTTTTAGTTTTATTTCTTGAGTTTCTCTGATTTGGTCTTCGTATGTGCAACATATGCATATACGTAACTCATCTTCTAAAAGCAAATCTTGTGATGGAAAACATCCCTAGTTGGTATTTTACGGTTCCCTGGGTTTCTTCTCGTTTTCTGTTTATAAAACTGATTGAATTGTTTTCCCTGCTAAGACAAAACGCGAAACCATTCTTCAACGTGTACCAACGGACTTTTCTGTCTGTTGCTTTTTATAAACAGAAAATGTTTGAATCTTTACTGACGATAAATCAGTTACAAAGTGACTTATAAGAAAATAAATTATTTACCCTTTATGTAACTAGAAAGTTAATTTCATTCGTAAAATAATTACACATATTGTTTTCTTTTTTCTTCTAAGGTATTTGTTTGATTTTCGTTTGGATTGCAGTCCTCCATCCGACAAATATCCCAATTACACAATTTTTTGTTGCGAATTGAGACATTCAAAAAAATTTGACTTTTTGAGAAAATTATATTGTTTATACTTACTTAAGTAGCACTAATAATGTAAGATACTTTTTTATAAATATTAATGTTAAACATCATTATATTCGAATAAAATAATTCGAAGTGGTCTGTATTCTGTCGAAACTGCCAGACGCGGATCGCGATTTCGATCTTTTTGGATCTCATCAGCGCGTCGCAGGCAGCTCCGACAGAACACAGACCAACTTTTACCTGCTGTCTTAACAGTGCGTTTCAGAAAATACTACAAACGGCACAGTGAACGCCATCTGTAGCGCGATGCTACATTTTAGGATTACGTATTTTTCAACAAGGTCCACTTGTGTGGATATCTACTTGCTGAAAACGAATCCTAGATAGTATTTTCATCATTATATTCAACACGTGAACTTTGTAATTACCTTACTACATTTAGAGTGTAATTAACTTCTAATATAAACTTTTCAAAAACTGTGGTTTATATTAGAAACTTTCAGCACTTTCATTAAATATTTCTGGGAAAGTGGGTTGTAACCTGTTACAAAATATGTCGAAATTGACAAGCCAGATGTGCTAGAGAATATTAACTGGTTGTTTATTTCATTTTAGCTCAGGTAAAATGTGATTTTCCTGTTTTAGTGTATAAAATAATTGTGGCAGAGTATTAGCTACTGGCGTACTAGTTATAAGTTGGCTAACAAGTTGTATAGCCACGTCCAGTTCTTGTTACAGGCGTAAAGTAAAACCCGACAAAATCGCCATCCCTGCAAGTGCCATAAGCGGATTAAGTTCCTTCAGAAGCTGTTAGATTCATTTTTGAAAAGCTATTGAATTGTATATTTCATCGCAAAAGCGACCCGGCGCACAATGTATTTCATTCATTTGACCCCAAGATTTCTCAATTTTCTAAGGAAGCATCAATATCGGCGCCTCAGCCACGAATTTGCCCATTCAAAAGCCTCAATCGAAGGTAGATAATATTTCGGAACGTCCAGCTAGGAGACGAATGTCCTCATTTCCACGTTTCAAAGCCCAGATTGACGATTTACTTAGCTCCATTCATACAAAAAAGTTTAGATTTATTATCCTTTCCAACCAGCATACAAGAAAAGGATCTTCGTCTTTAAGAGAATATTATGTGTGAACCTTTTTCCATTTCAAATGGCGATCATTACGTAAGACACCTGTCATAAGTGTATATAATTCCTAATTGTTTTAATTTCTTATTTACAATAGCGTAGCGATGTCCCGAGATAAAAATGTTCAGTCTCTCAGAGTCTCTGAATGAGAGACTCGAGTCGCTCATAGAGAGATCCTCATTTTGTATACAGTCTCTGAATTAGAGACTCGAATCTCTGAACGAGAGACTCGAATCTCTAAATTAACAATTTTATCGTTCAAGTCTCTCATACAGAGACTATGAAAGATCCATAAAAACACCTAAGCAATAACTGAGAGACTGTGAAAGACTGTGAGAGACGCTGAAATACTCTGAGAGACTGGAGAGAGACTGAAAATTTATATCTAGGGACACTACATATAACGGTTGAGTATTGAAGTGGATCTGTTTGTAGTTATAGGGTTTTAAATAGATTCAATACTTTTTGTAACAAAATAAAACTGTTTCCCAAAAGGAAGTACAGAACCATTACAAGATCATTATCTTGCTTCATCTAGCCTCATTTGTCTCAATTATTTCCTTTGTATCAATGTTTAGCACCAAAACATATGAAAAATTATATTTGTTGTATTTTATTTCAGATATTCGTGCAGATATTGTTAGGAAATATACACTAAAATTCATGTCATATTCTTGAATTGTAGGAAATGAATTACTATTACAAACTACTAATTAACTTTAATTAATTCTACCAAAATAGTACTTATTTCTAAATTGTATCATAAGAAACAGAGTAATTTTAATTTTATTATTATTTATTGAACAATGATGTAAGTTAGATATACAGGTAAGGCAAAATGTTCACCGAACACATTTCTTTATAGTCATTATTTCGTTTTATGCTGCGTGAGCGAAAATACATAATTTCCTGAACGTATGGAATATATTTTTGCATCTCTGAAAACTGTGTTATACGTTAGGTTTCCAACTCGCCCCTAGTGTATAGGAAGCTCATCCACTGCATAAAACTTTAAATTAAAAATTTTACAGCTTCTCAAGTACTAAAAGTTCTTATAATTCGATGTTGTCACTCTAAATTTATGTTAAACTATTTTTTGTTACTACTGACGATTACACTATTCAGAACGAGTTTTTTAAACTGTTTAAACTTCACGAAGACGTACGTAATAGCGATGGAACGCTATTTTAGAAGATAGACTTTAAGTTCTTTCTAACTTTATATAAATTACTTTTCTAGGACATTTAATGTAAGTTTGCAAGTTTAATTTTTGTAAAATGGGTTCTTAAAACGTCAAGAAAATCGGAAACTTTGCTAGGAAGTTAATTTTAAAACATCGAAGCACTTAAGTTTGTTTGGCGTTAGAAACAATTGAATTTTGAACAAATATAACATTTCCTTTTAAAGAAAATCGACCCCGTTTGCTGTAGAATAATAAAAAATCTGCAACTTATTTGAAATTAATTAGGTTTCTGTACGTTTATAAAGCAATACCTACTACAGTAGGTACTAAAGACAAAAATTTCAATTGAATTAGTGAGAGTGAAAGGTGAAGAAAGATGAGAGTCGGCTGCTGTCATATTTCGTTAAAGTCATGTCAGTAGCAGAATCGTTCAGGGTGTATAAATCATTCACTTTCGTTTAACTTTAACAAGGCATTTGATCTTTGTTTGGGAATATTACTTTGAAGAGCCGCGCCAGAGCTAAAAGCGGGTATTAGGCACTTGGTCCTGAATTAATTTAAATTAAAACTTCGGGCATCACAAAACTTATCGATTGATTAATTGTCCATGATCTTTACAATTTTTTACGGTAACTTCTGATGATAAATTATTATTAATAATATTATGTAGAATCCCGAGATAAAATTGTTCAGTCTCTCAGAGTCTCTGAAAGTGAGACTCGAGTTTCCGTCTCTCATCGAGTCTCTATGGTGTCGCTGAGAGAGACTGTCAAAAAAGCTGTTTAGTGTCTCAGAACGAGATACTCGAGTCGCTCATAGAGAGATCCTCATTTCGTATCCAGTCTCTGAACGAGAGGCTCGAATCTCTCAATCAGTGGTGTCTCGATGAACATGGCTAAAATTTTCTAAGTTCAACATATTTCAGAGATCCCAGTCTTTCTACGAGAGACACGAGTCTTTCAATTTTTCAGTTTTATTCATTCAGTCTCTCTGTGAGAGACTCGAATCTCTGAATTAACAATTTTATCGTTCGAGTCTCTCATACAGAGACTGTGAGAGATCCATAAAAACACCTAGGCAATAACTGAGAGACTGTGAAAGACTGTGAGAGACGCTCTCAGAGACGCTGAAAAACTCTGAAAGACTGGAGAGGTACTGAAAATTTTTGTCTAGGGATGTACTATTGTTTTAAAGATTGTAATCTGTAATCTAATAGAGAAGAGGTTGAAGCGTAAATGGTACTAAATCAAAGATAAACTGTATAACTGCAGAACGTAATATGTAAAAAATATTTTAAGTTTTGAGAAACATTACTGGTTTTCATTTTGTAAATTTTTGCTGCTTATTTATTTTTATATCAAAGGAGAGTTTAATTTCAAAACTTTGTGTGTAATGTGTTAATTTAGGACTTTTTTTATTGTATATATTTTATGTAATAAGTACATTAAAATTAGATAAATGGTTTATAAGACGTTGAGGAAAAATTTTCCGAAGTTCGTAGGGCATTATAAAAAATTATATTGTGTTGGTATCAGGCTTGCAGTTCACCAACCAGCATTTAGGAAAATTGATTAAATTGATTCTGACATTCTTTAACAGTACATCAAAACATAATTTATTAACGATGACATATCTAATTTTCTTATTGTATCAGCTTTTCATGTGAAAGCATAATAATAACTGCCGCTTTTATCATTTTATTTTAATTGGTGGAGAATGAGGGCGTAGACAGTAAACAACCTTTCGAAAAATCTTCAATAAAATAAGTTTACGTACGTAAGCTGTTAGACCTGTCAGATACAATTTAGCGGAAAAAGTTTTAATATTCTTCTCAGAATATTATTGATTTTATAATAATTACCTCCTTTGTTTTCACTTTCTCTCCTCGAGGATATCGGAAAAGTTTAAGGCTGAAAATACTTTATTTTATATTTTTTATTAATTAAAGTGTTACGTTAATTGTCGAGTAAAAATCTAGTTGTAGTTAATTATGATATAGAGTATATAGAGTAGTTTGTTATAATATTTTTATAAACTCCAAAGTTGGTAGTATAAAGTGGCGAGATTCGGAAGTTATACACAGGTAGGATGAATACATTTCAAATCGTCGGTTACAAAGGTAAGAGAGATAGTCCTTGGAGGGATATAACTTACCTTGAGCTGGAGCATAAATGTTGAGGTAGAGACAATCCTCACTTTGGTTCTGCAAATACGGTAACAATCTCTTTAAATATTCCAGTCTACCTCGGGGCATCTTTTTAAGCGCGGCAGTTTCGTTACGAATATCGGGCAATCTCTGGGGACACACAGGACTAAACTTGTCCGCAATTTTCACACCCGACCATAGAGCACCCGTTACCGGCGGCATAAATCGTAAGCTCCCCAAAGGGGGACTAGCGTAAGGTATACCACGAAACACTTCGACGGGTTCCAAATGACGCGAATCCAACGTTATGATCACACCACTCACGTCCCCGTATTTGGTCCTTACGGTGCGTGATGAAAGAGGTGCACGTTGATTGGGTGATGGTTCCGGGTTCCCCAAACAACCCCCTAATACAAGGAACGTCAACAAATGCGCACACAATATAGAACCAGAACCACCCCGGTCACTGGTGCCAAAACGCATCTCGAAGGATTTACAGAACCCTTAGAAAAACTCGTTTCTCTTTCTCATATTTTCCCTGGAGTGTTTCCCTGCGTACGCGAGAGTGGATCTGATGAGTTGCGGGAGTTCACCTCTTGCATTAATCATCCCTTTCGAATGCATGTTTGAAAGAAAAAACAAGAAACGGAACGTTTCATTTATGCGGATCCTTCAAGGATAATTATTTATATTTTGTAATCATTGTACTTCGACTATTATTTTCTACTATAACGGCTCATGTGGAACTATTAGTTGTGCGATATTAAATATTAAGTGGTTGATATCGGAAGCACTTAACGGTAACCACGACGGGGTGAGTGACGTCACGTGCCAAACGCGGAGGCAGACTGGCGTCGGATTCTGTCTAATGTTTTGCGCAACACTAGCGCCAATGACCTGTGCGCCTTCGCGGTGGTCCGACGAACCAAACTTCGATTTATGAATTCCTTGCACCCCGTCAAACTTTTCAAGATTAATTAACGGAACTTAAACACTATTTTCGTAAAGGTCTTTCAAAAATTAAACGGTTGATTGTAATCGTCGCTTTTATAAATTGAAACGTTAAATAATGACATAAAGTAGACAAAAAATGTGTATCGCTGACTCAAAAAAAAAAGGAAAAAAGCTAAGGGCCGATGAGGGTCTTCAAAGTTTTTTAAGTTTTAAACGGCTGAGAATATACGTCTCGGCCCATAAAGCGGTTGTAGTAAAAAGTGTTTTTTGACCTAGGATACAGGCTTCCACATTTCTATTTCGTGTTCAAATTTTTGCAAATATAAAAGAGATAAAAATGAAATAAAAAGGAACAACAATCTAAACTAACTAAAACACTGAAATTTCACCTAAATACTTTCTATTACATAAAGTGCATTTTGTCAACTTCATGAGCCAGCTTTTTTGTTTGTTTTTTAAAAATTGCAAAATCTATTTCATTAATTAATAACTGTTAATGTACCAAATTATTTGTCATCTATGTTCTATATATTGACACTGACACGATTATTGTTGCATAAAGTTTTGTCAATGTAATTTCAAATCATATTCCGGAAGTACAGGTTGAAATAATTTGCAGCGTTATCCTATATTAGTCCACACGACAGAGGATAAAATATTTTATTTTACAAGTTTAACTCACGATTGATAGTTTATTACGTTCAATTGAAATACTTATGTATTAGGATGTATTATCCTTGTTACTTACGGTGTTTATCCTAGAAGTATTCCAGTAAAATAAACCATGGGACTTTTAGTATAGGTACATAAGCAATCGTTAATGTAACGATGGTTATTCAGTCTAAAATTTACCTAATGCGACCATCAATTCCTTCTTTACCTCGCTAGTTACAAACCCTGTTTATCACTTATACGAGGGTGGATTGATAAGTTTCCGGCCTGACCAAGAAAAACAAGGTTTTTAAAAATTTTTTTTTTTTATTTCTCAACATAATCTCCTCCAAGGCTGATACATTTCTCATAGCGGTGTTCCAGTCTATTAATGCCATCTCTATAGACTGATTCGTCAAGCTCCTCAAAATAACCATTTACAGCTTCGATTACTTCTTCATTGTCCGCAAATCTCTTACCGCCAAGCCATTTTTTGAGATTAGGGAACAGAAAATAGTCACTCGGGGCTAGGTCTGGAGAGTAAGGAGGGTGCGGCATCAATTCAAACTTTAGATCGTTGATTTTAGCCGTCGCAACGATTGACGTGTGCGCTGGTGCGTTATCGTGATGAAACAAGATTTTTTTCTTCGCCAGATGAGGTCGTTTAATTTTCACCTCGTGGCTCAAACGTTGCAATAAGTCTGCGTAGTATTGACCAGTGATAGTATTACCCTTTGCAAGGTAATCAATGTATATAATACCTCTTGCATCCCAAAAAACAGTAGCCATAACCTTGTTCGCCGAAAAAATTGTTTTTGCCTTCTTTGGAGTTGGTTCCCCTGGTCCAATCCACTGTTTAGACTGTTCTTTGGTTTCAGGAGTGTAGTGGTGGACCCACGTTTCGTCAACGGTTACGAATCGACGCAAAAATTCGCTTGGATTACGCTTATACAATGACAAATTTGCGGTAGAAATGTTTTTTCGAATCAATTTTTGGTCGACTGTTAGCAAACGCGGCACCCATCTTGCACAGAGCTTTTCCATATGCAAATGTTGGTGCAAAATATGTTGCACACGTTCATATGACATCTTACAGGTCTCAGCTATCTCACGCACTTTCAATCTGCGGTCTCCCAGCACTATTTGATGAATTTTTTCGATCATATCTGGAGTTGTGACCTCAACGGGGCGTCCTGAGCGAGGCCCATCAGAGGTGCTCACACGACCCTTTTTAAACTCGGAAACCCACTGCTTAACGGTTGAATATGACGGGGAGGATGTCCCCAGTGTTGAGTCCATCTCTTTTTTAATTTCCTTCGGCGTTAACCCCTTCAAATAAAAGTATTTGATGACAGCACGATTTTCCTGCTTTTCCATTTTTACGAAAACCACAGAGGCGTCTTGTTCAGCGTGCTGTCAAACCTACACTAGCAAGGAGATCGGGCTGAAACTATAGCTACAAGCTATCCAAGGATGGTACTATAGAATGTCACCTCAAGGTAGGCCTAGTGGCGTCATCTCTTGGTTAGGCCGGAAACTTATCAATCCACCCTCGTATATAGAGTTGCTTGAAGTGTGAGAAGAACCGAGCGGCATGGTCTAGAGGTTTAGACCATTGCTTAGCATTCGGGAGGACGTTGGTTCTATTCCGTGTCCGTCTGCTTTGGTCCAAGTTTTTCTGTGGTTTCCTTGGATCACTTAGGCAAATGCTGGGGCAGTAATATTCCACAGATAATCTTTCATTAACTTCTGTCTTCATTTCGTCCGTCTCATCTTTCTCACCCGAACCACCACCCACCCATTCCTACGATTCCTGAAAGAATGCTGAAGCATTAGTGGCTGGTGGGAATGAAACACCCAAAAGTTTTTTTTTTGTGTGAGATGGAATAAAAGGTAGTGTATAAAATGCTTACCGAATTAATGAATGTTTTACTCTGGACAATATCCGATTTATAAATAAATAACATAGTAAGTACTCAAAGATACCCTTTGGTGTAAAAATAGAGGCTATAATATGTTTCTACCTTGAAATTACCCCATTACGATAAAGTACCTATACATACTGTGTTGCAACATTTTTATTGATCGTTGACAACCCTGGATCTTAAATGTGTCCACTCATCACATCTATTCATGTTCAGTGTGAAAATATGCTGGAAAAAATTGAGTGCTGTATGTAAATTGCATTTTTCCCAAGCAACACCAAAGAATCGAGCATTTACGAATAAACTGCGAGGAGACGTAAAAAGAAGATTAAATAATAAATTTAGTTTTTGAGGGGCTGTATCAGTGGCATGTTTATTATTGATTTCCAATAGGGATCAGCGTCGTTTCGAATGGGGATTTTGTTCTCGAAATTTATAAAGACAATTTTTGGTTTTCCAGCAGGGAAAAATTGAACAGGATGGGGTTCGGTAAATGTAAATCATTTTTATAAATTTGTCGCTTTGTGTTACTGTATTTCGGGTTTAAAGCTACTGCCTGAGCGTTGTGGTTAAAAAAATATACGGAGGGTGCGTTTGAAGTCAAATAAATCATCCCTTCCTAGGTGATTAAAGTCTCTGCGTATTTGAAAACGAAGCATATCAAATACATGGATTTATTTTTTTAAATTATCTCAACTTTTAAGTAGGTATGAACCTTTTACAATGATAAATTAAACGGTTTTTAAATGAATTATGAACGTATACACATGTTGATAACACCAGCATTCAATCTCATAGCCCTCTAGAGTACTCTTCATTCTGCAATCCCTAGCGTTCGTTCTAAATAATGAAAGTGTCCCAACGAGGCGAGTGAGTTGCTCATTTTGCCTACACTTGGTTTAATTCGACGGAATGTTTAACTAACTTTCTGTTGTTTCTCATACATTATTTACAGCGCTTAATATTCTTTTGTGGTTGATCGTTATACTATTGTAGTATCAGACGTGACATAAAAAATTGTTTACTTAGATTTAAGAAAACGGCCGCCAGACCCTCGGACGCAACCCTGTCATAAAGTTTATTTCCGTTGCTCAAAGAAAAGGACCTCTTGGACGGTCAAGAAAGCCACGAGGACGAAATATGTTCGAGTACTGTACAAGTTTAAAACGGACTTAATGAGTGAGTCGAAGAGTAACCCTCGAGGAAGTTAGACGTCGTGACGACTTGACTCATTCATGTAAAGCTTCTACGTTTTGAGCTTGATGTTTAAGTTAACCTTATTGATTTTATAATTTGTTTCTTTTTATAAATCTTGTTATACTTACAAGTCCTTGTTAACGCTACTGTTATATCCCTACACTATAACTGTCGTTACACTTGTGGTTGGTTAATTTAATACCTCAGGCACCGTCATACAATGATGATAAGGAAGAAAGTATGTTAACGTAGTGTATTGAAAAAAGGAAAAAAAACAGCCTCAAAATCTGGATGATGCTAATTTGGAAAGTTAATCATATTTTTTCATAGTCAATTCATATCTGGTTTCATAATTACCCTGGAACATTGAAATTTCGAGACATATCCTATTCCCATTACCAAACAAGCCTAATTAGCGTTATTCCAATTTTGGGACACATGTGTTTTTTTCAATATATTGACGCGCTGAGGCAATTCTGAATTCATTCACAAAAGATACCTCGGAAATAACGACCCTCTTGGTTGTTATCTCTCTTTATTTCACGCAGTCTTAATACTCACTAACAAGCAAAATTACATTTTTTTAAGTCTCCGGTTAGAGATGTCTTGAAATCCTGCCATGCCGAGGAAATTTTAAGACTAGATTCAAATAAAATAACTTTAACGATCGTTTCTTGATCTATTTTATATAACATTAAAAGGTGAAGACGCCGCCAACTGTTGGTAAAAAATTTTTAATCTTTCAACTGGAATTGGTACTTAAGAATTACAATTAGTTAACTATCTGTACCAAACACTCCAAGGGACAATTTAAAATAACAAACTGGGAATTTATTATTTCTACAATTCATTGTTGGTACCTACTTTTTCAACAATACATACGTTATCGTTACATTTTTATTATTTATCATGTTCGTATTCTCGTTTTGTATCGAGAGCGTGTAAGTTTAATGGAAAATTTCTCCCGATGCATCATATAACTGGCAGACAAATTACTTACTTTGGATGCTTTCTAGTCGCTTCCTTGTGA